CCTTTGTTTCATTTTCTGTGCTTATCATTGGTCAAAATATTCATAAATGAGTGGCTAGTTTACTGTGCACCCAATAGTACACAGTGATAAGCTAAGGCGTTCGGTCTTCGTCTAATTCTACAATAATTCATATAACATTTCCTATGATTTAATATTTACTTGTGCGATAATATACTGTACAAGTTGTTGATATAAAGGTTGTGTGTTACGTTATGTTACAGTTGCTCGTGATTCCCTGTCTGTCTGTCTGTCTGTCTGTCTGTCTGTCTGTCTGTCTCTGTTGTTAGTCTTCTTGTAATCTTGACCTCAATTCACTCTACTGTGTACAGGGAGAGAGAGAGAGAGAGAGAGAGAGAGAGAGAGAGAGAGAGAGAGAGAGACGGACACATGTCTGACGTCATTGGGCAGTATCGAACAACACTGAGTCCTAAGATTATTGAACGGTAAGAGCACACACACACACACACACACACACACACACAGAAAGGTTATACTGTACTGTATCTTTGTCTGGGTGTTGATGATTATGGATCACCTAAATATTAATCTAATTTGTTTATTTTAACACTACCTGGGAGTTAGGTTAAGTTAGGTTAGGTTAGAACAGAAGAAAATTGGAAAATAAGGAGTCTACAATAGGCCGGTTGACCTGTACATGGCAGCTCCTGTCGCGAGTTACTACCATGAATCTATCTAGCCTCCTTTTGAAACTTTCCAGCGTTCCAGCACTTACTACAAGGTTGCTAAGCTTGTTCCACTCGTCCACCACCCTATTTGTGAACCAGTTTCTTCCTATCTCCCTCCTAAACCTAAACTTATCCAACTTAAATCCGTTGCTCCGAGTCCTAACCTGCTCGGATATTATAAGAACTTTATCTATATCCCCTTTATTGATTCCTTTCACCCACTTAAATACTTCTATCATATCTCCCCGCACTCTTCTTTCTTTCTAGGGAATGCAAGTTTAGTTTCTTTAATCTTTCTTGATATGGAAGGTTTCTAAGTCCCGGAATCATTTTCGTCATTCTTCGCTGCACCGACTCCAGTGAATTGATATCCATTCTATAATAAGGGCACCAGAACTGAACAGCATAATCGAGGTGCGGTCTGACGAGCGCAAGATATAGTTGCAATAAGACCTCTGCACTTTTATTACTTACACTTCTAGATATAAAACCTAATACTCTGTTTGCCTTATTTCGAACATTAACGCACTGTTTTATAGGCCGTAAGTCCGGGCTTACAAGTACCCCTAGGTCTCTTTCACAAGCCGACTTCTCTAGGTTAATGTTGTTAAGGCTGTATACATTGACAGTATTTGTTCTTCCAATATTAAGTACGCTGCACTTGCTGGTGTTGAATTTCATTTGCCATTTTTCTGACCACTCCTGCAGTTTATTTAAATCCTCCTGTAGTGCATTTGCATCCTGCCCTGAATTAATCTGCCGCCCTATTTTGGTGTCATTCGCAAACTTGCTTTTGTCACTGCTCATCCCAATATCTAGAATTCTAGATCGTTTATGTGGATTATGAACAAGAGTGGGCCCAGTACTAACCCCTGGGGAACCCCACTGGTTACACAGCCCCACTCAAATTTATCACCATCTACGCTGATCCTCTGTGTTTTATCGGTGAGCCGTGATTTTATCAAGTTTAAAACTTTCCCCTCGATTCCATGAGCCTTAACTTTTCTCAGAAGCCTCTGATGCGGTACTCTGTCGAATACTTTGCTGAAGTCTAAGTAAATAACATCGTAATTTTCGTCATTATCTACTACCTCGAAGACTTTCCTAAAAAAACGTCAGGTTAAGTTAGGTTTGGTTAAGTTTGGTTAGGTTAGGTTAGGTTAGGTTAGGTTTGGTTAGGTTAAGTTAGGCTAGCATGAGGGTGGTTAGGTTAGGTTAGGTTAGGTTATGATAAGTTTGGTTAGGTTTGGATGGGTTAGGTAAGTTTAGGATTGGTTATGTTAAATTGGGTTAGGTTAGTTTTGGTCAAGTTAATTTAAATTAGGTTAGGATGGGTTAGGTTAGGACAGGTTAAGTTAAATTAGGTTAAGTTAAGTTAGGTTAGGTTAAATAAGATTTGCATTAGGGTAGTTAAAGTTCAGGTGAAAAAGCCAGGATATCTACTCACCAGGTGATCCATCAACAATATTATGGGTGTTAAGAGACTTGTTTGTGTTAGTGGTGGTCGACGGGTGTTGAGGCAGCCGTGACGTGCGGGGTGTGCTCGGAGCTCTACCTGGCTGGTGTGAGAGAGCCGCTGATGCTTCCGTGCGGCCACACCTTCTGCTGCGTGTGTCTGGCGAGCGTGGGGGAGGAGATGAAGGGTCTTACTTGTCCTACCTGCCGCAGTACACACCTCTCCCTCTCCTCCCATCACCTCCCTGTCAACTACACCGTCCTTGACCTCTCTCAACAGTCCGGTGACCTGCAGGTACTTATACTTATACATTCTTGTTCATGTAGTAAGGTTGTCATGATATATATATATATATATATATATATATATATATATATATATATATATATATATATATATATATATATATATATATATATATATATATATATACATACAATGAGGTTCACGGCGCCATCAGCTCGATGAACAGGCTTTGTGTGAAATATAACAGAGTCTAGGACTGCTTTTAGTGTCCTTGTGGGTTGATCGGTAGCATTCCCTAGTCCCACCCAGTAGGTCGAGGGTTCGATTCCTGGCTGGTGAGGTCGTTGATTATATGTTCAAAGTCCGCGTGTTATATGGACTAAAAATGAAGTATATATATATATATATATATATATATATATATATATATATATATATATATATATATATATATATTCCATACTTATTTTATACTATGATCAATATTAGCAGTGTGACGTTCAAGTGGATAAATCGCTTACCTCCTTTTCTAACGGCCACTGGTTCGATTCTAGGGCACTCCCAGTCCACCCAGCTGTAAAAGGGTGCCTCACTTTACACTCGGGCGGTCCAGAGTAGTACCGGCCATGCTGCCTCCTGGTGTACCGAAGGCTTAGTATACAGTGTGCTATATCCACACTGTCCCTTTACGGGCAGTCGTGCCTATGGGACCCCGTTTCACTTTACAGTACATGTTCAGTGGTGGCTTGATTTAGCTGCCTACTGCTGTGTTCTGTGCAGGTAGAGGAGCAGCGAGGGTTATGCAGCAGCCACGGGGAGCCGCTGTGTTACTGGTGTCGTGAGTGTGCTGTGCTGGTGTGTGGTCACTGCCTGCTCGACCAGCATCTGAAGCAGGGCCACGACGTTCTGCACGCCGCAGACTTTGTCCTGGAGAGGAAAAGCTCCATCCAGGCCCGCGTACAACACCTGCAGGCAGTGTTCAGAGACAGCAGAACCAGGACGAGGACGTGTCTCCACCACTGCCTAGTCCACCTCGTCTCGCTGTGTCATGAGAGCAAGAACGTCTTCGACCTCGACGATGAGCTGTTTAGAATCTCTTCAGAAGCAAAGAACTTGAGAGACGTGGAGGCCGTGTTGATCTCCGAGACCCGACTGAGGAGCCTTCATCGCCGGGGGACGTCCCCGGCCCTGGGCCTCCACAAGACGCCAGTTAAAAAATCCCTTGAAACACGGGCTAGAGATCCCTTAGGTGGTAGTGGTGCAGCTGGTGGCACTGTAGGTGATAGTGGTGCAGCTGGTGGCACTGTAGGTGATAGTGGTGCAGCTGGTGGCACTGTAGGTGATAGTGGTGCAGCTGGTGGCACTGTAGGTGATAGTGGTGCAGCTGGTGGCACTGTAGGTGATAGTGGTGCAGCTGGTGGCACTGTAGGTGATAGAGGTGCAGCTGGTGGCACTGTGGTGATAATGGTGCAGCTGGTGGCACTGTGGGTGACAGTGGTGCAGCTGGTGGCACTGTATGGTGATAGTGGTGCAGCTGGTGGCACTGTGGTGATAGTGTGGTGCGGCTGGTGGCACTGTGGGTGATAGTGGTGCAGCTGGTGGCACTGTGGGTGATAGTGGTGCAGCTGGTGGCACTGGTGGGTGATGTGAGTGGGGTACAGCTGTGTGGTGACTGTAGGTGGTGCAGCTGAACTGTGGGTGATAGTGGTACAGCTGGTGGCACTGTGGGTGATAGTGGTGCAGCTGGTGCTGGCAGGGTGGCACTGTAGGTGGTAGGTGCTGGTGGCACTGGTGACACTGTGGCAGCGATATATGGTGCAGCTGAGGTGGCACTGTGGTGATAGTGGTGCAGCTGGTGGCAGCTGTAGGTGATGTGATGCAGCTGGTGGCGCTGTGGGTGGTAGTGGTGCAGCTGGTGACAGTAAAACCAGTCATGGTGGTGACAGACGTGGTGAAGGCGTAGAAGGAGGAGGAGGAGGAGGAGGAGGAGGAGGAGGAGGAGGAGGGAGGAGGAGGAGGAGGAGGAGGAGGGAGGTGTGGGTGGAAGAGGAGGGAGAAGAGAGGGTGACGGGGCCTGGTGGTGGTGGCCTATGACTTGCCGGGCTGTGAGCAGTGATGGACGCCAGGCAGAGCTTCGCCGGGAGGACGACTGCCTGCTGGTGGCTCCCCTCTCTCAATGCCTCACCACACCTCACCTCACCATACAGGTAATGACTCTCACCATACAGTACTACCTTCACCGTACAGTACTACCCTCACCATACAGTACTACCCTCACCATACAGTACTACACTCACCATACAGTACTACACTCACCATACAGTACTACTCACCATACAGTACTACACTCACCATACAGTACTACACTCACCATACAATACACTCACCATACCTCACTCACCATACTGCACTACCCTCACCATACAGTACTACCCTCACCATGCACAGTACCTACCATACCATACACACACACCCCATACAGTACTACACACACCACATACTACCCTCACCATCACCATACTACCCTTTCCCCTCAGCCCCCCTCACCATACGGTACTACCCTCACCATACAGCACTACCCTCACCATATAGTACTACCTTCACCATACAGTACTACCTTTACCATACAGCACTACCCTCACCATACAGTACTACCCTCACCATACAGTACTACCCTCACCATACAGCACTACCCTCACCATATAGTACTACCTTCACCATACAGTACTACCCTCACCATACAGTATTACCCTCACCATACAGTACTACCCTCACCATACAGCACTACCCTCACCATACAGCACTACCCTCACCATACAGCATTACCATCACCATACAGTACTACCTTTACCATACAGCACTACCCTCACCATACAGTACTACCCTAACGTAACCTAATTCACCCTAACCAAACTAACAATCCTGGAATATTTTTTAAGTTATGTCAGATAAGATCAATTTGGATTCAATTGTTTGTTTTCTCTCTTATCAAATGCAGTACATGACAGTGGATATTTCTCCCATCTATAGGACGTCACTTTACTGATATTCAAGTTCTTACAGGATCACACAACACTATTTCTTTTGACATATGGCGGCTGTGAGGCTACGACAGTATACGTAAATCATTTGTGAAAGCTGACAAGAATAAATCTATTTTAAATTAAGTTAAATTAGTCCGATTAAAGAATAATTTAAGGTTCTTAAGGTTGGGTTAGATTCGTGTCATGTTTAATAAATTAAGTGCAGTAGTCTCTCAGGCCAACAAATGTCAACAACTGACTGGACCGTGTTATTATCTTGCTTATGTCACGTGATTGTTATCAAGTTTGTCAATGTCTGTCATCCATGTGTCTCCGGATGATAAATAAATATTTAGTAATTATTATAGAAAAAAAGAAACTAAAACACTAAATCAATTACCAACAGTACATCGCCTGGCATAGGACCATGTCGGTCCACAAACGCGGATCTCATGGCATTTGTTGACCATTTTGTTTCATCATAACCTTATCTTACAGCTGTCACTGCTTGAGAGTGTGGTGGAGACTACAAACCCTCTGGTCTACCTGGAGCTAAGTGCCAGCCACCAATATCTGGGCCGACTCACTGTGCGACTGTGGGGTCACCTCCGTCGGGCTCAGCACTTCAGGGCCCTTTGCCTTGGCACCTTCGGCCCCTCTTTTGTTGGCTCCAAATTCGAATACGTTGGGAACCGAGGCCGACCGGGGGAGTATATCGTCGGCGGCAGCTACTTGACAGCTACAACGTCGGATGGGGGCGTCAGAGGTCCCTGGCTGGGGACAAGGACCACCAGGGGGTTGATGGAAGGACTAGAATGGGGAGGAAACTTTGTCGGGGAGGACAGGGAGGGCGTGTTACAGGGGGCCGGTGGAGGACACCCTGAGTACGACTCCCTCTTCTGTGTCTGCAGCAGGAGCGACCCAACCGGGAAGTCACAGTGTCCTTTCGGTGAGGTGGTGTCCGGGATGGGGGTGGTGAGGACTGCCATCCTCCACGACCCTGTATCAGACCTCACCATCACGGGCTGTGGCCTCCTTGTTCCTAATGTCTGACCTCACCATTTTGATGTCTGATGCCACCATTATATCTGATGTCACCAATATGATATCTTACGTCACCATTATGTCTAACCTCACCATTATAATGTCTGGCATCACCATCACAACACGCCACTATCGTTCTCGCTCCATCATTAATCACTATTTTACTTCAGTGTATCAGTTTTTAACAAATAAGATGGTGGGGTATACCTACTGTACACTAGCATTATTACCATTTGTTTAACCTCATTTATTTAGTCAATTCTCCATCTGTTGCTCTATCCAACTAACTATCTACAGTATGTGTACACACATTCTTATCACCTGTTTTATCACTTACCATATTCCTATATCAATGTAGCTGTTAATTATAATAACTATTAATAATTACAGAATGTTTTATATAGACAAAAAACAACAATTAAAAACAATAAGTGAGTTTCCATTCTTACCTCCATCCTTAGTGCGAGATCTACATAGCCTATGCTACCCACTCTGTGTGACCAGCCCACTTGTTCTACCCCTACTCATATGACAATCCAGGCCGGCCACGCAAATACCAACGTAAGCCACTCTGCAACGCTTGATCCCTAAAGCCCTTAAGAAAAACCTCTTTCAAATTATCCTACCTACTGGCTACTTGCGTTGGGGCTACTTTAACCATCTCCTCACGCAGCATCTCAAGGGCATCTGAATAGGTCCACACATTTTCCAATACACCCTGAGTCCTCTGATAAAATCTAAGATGGAGCTCCCCCAGCTTCAGGTTTTTTCCATAAGTATCTTTTAAAACTGGGAGAACCCCTTCACTATTACTAATTTTTCTACCCTTTTCAGAGAAGGACTAGTGAGAAATTTAAGAATATAGTTGACTGCCCCTCTACCCTTGTAGCCAAGCAACCTTATGTTATGCTTGGCCTCAGCTATTCACTTGCCTACACTAATTTGGTCTAAATTATCAGGAGTCCCTGAAAAAATCCCGAGCTTCATCTCATGGGCTACCACTTGAGGGAAAAGATCAACACTGTCCTCTTTGTGCGTAGGCTCACCCCTCTGCTCAGACTGTGAGACCCAAGTTTCCCTTTTAACACTCTTAGTGGGACTTCTCACCCCTTGTTCCATCTGGTTTGTGGGTTTTTGTACTTGATTACATAAGGGTAGGATAGTCTGGTGATACAATTCACCTATCTCCGAGCTTCTCAAGTCGGGGATGGGTAACTCATGCTTGGCTGCTTCTAGATCCGCCCTCCTCTGCGTAGCTAACTGCTTCACCGGCCCAAGCTCTCCCCTCCGCTGTCAATCCTCAGCAGGCGGTGGTGCTGTGTTCCTCCCCGGGTGATTTCGGCTGTAATAACTACTGCCTGGGCGCTGCTTGTTCTTTGCTCTAAAGGGGCGAATCCCTACTTACTCATGCAAGCAAATGCATACCCCGCATCTCCACCAAGTGTAGCAAGAACAAAGCAGGGAACTCCCATAGCAGGGATATGACACACACTTGTAGTTTTCGCTACTTTATTTACTCTAGAAATCACCCGAGGAAGGAAAGGCTGGGACCTAGATCAGACATAACTAGTTATTCTACAGTGTACTCACAAAACAAGCATCAACTGTCATTATACATTGTAAATACAAAGCAAGCATCAACTGTTGTCATAATCACATATTTGGTACCACACAGTAGTAGGAACTAAACAGTACATAATATACCCAACCCACCAGCATAACACAGGGAGGTGGCTGTTAGTGTAGATTCACTTCAGGGTGAATGTCTGTAGAGCAAAGCTAGTATTAGCCTTATTCTGGCTTACAAACTACCTCCACGAATTCATCACATTCTTCATATAACACTTATTATGCTTAACCTATCAAACACACCCTAACAGAGCTAGAAATACATGGGACACACACCTGTTACTGGGCCCAGCTGATGAGCCTTCGTAATGTAAACAAGGACGTAGCGTCTCTGCCCCCGGGCTGGGATGCATTCGCTGGAAGCAAATTCCATTTCGAATCCACAAAATATATTTATTTTTTCCTCCTCGGGGCTTACAAAAATACATATCCATATGAAAAATATTCTAAATAACAAAATAGTTGTCTCTGGAGTTCCTCATACCACATCTTCTCACCCACGCAGGTGTACGTCGAGAGCGTAGGTAGTCCCGAGGGATAAGTAAGAAATGCACGGCCCATCCATCATCGCCCTCCTGTGAGGCACCCACGAGTTACTGTGGGGAACGCTGGTGGCCACCCTGCAATCTCCCTTAAGGGTCATGGACATCTCACATATCACTATCTAGAACATAAGATAATGATTGTCTTATATGGAATGATTCACGGTGGCCACTTAAGCGACTCCATGATACCGGATGCTGAAATAGTCCAGGTATGACTACCCTGGGAAGTATCCCATCTACCTAGCGGGGTATCTATTATGTGTACCTGGGTGATACCGAAAAGTTCCATACTTGTAGGTGTGGAGTGTACCTAATATGTGGTGCGATATAGTATAACTGTGCGTACAATCTGATGTGTTGTAACTGAATGCATTATTTTTTTATTTGGAAATAAATAAGTTAAGTCATGAATGATGTTTCACCCTTACTCCCACCTTTGGTTTGATGAATACAAACATACACCCAGTGCCTGGCTTGTTCTGCCAGCTACCTAACAAGCTACATACTGTCCAGGGGGTCTGGTGGCAGCGACCTTAAAATTAAGAGTAGAGTTAAGTTATCCCCTTAGGATTAGTGACCCCAGAGTGGGCAGTATACCCGCTCCATTGGATGTAAGATCCCGTTGGTGTCTATTTACGACATCCACTCCGATTCATTTAATTTATAACCTGAAGCCTGTGAGTTCGTGTTTTTCATTAATCAAGGTTTAGGGTGGAAGAGCGGGTGAAACACCAGCCAGTATCCTTAACTAATTTATTTTAGACACATTAAAAATACTGCACTCAGTCACAATACAAAAACAATTGACCTTCCTCGAGTAATTAAGGTCACTACACCATCCAAACCTAACCGACCTTCTCCCAAGAATTAAGGTCCCTTCTTCTCCATACAAAACAACTGACCTCCTCACTTAGTTCACTCCTTCCCAATATCCGAAACACTCAATAATACCTGAATAAAGGAACACTCAATAATACATACAAGTAATGCAGCTTATTCTTAGCACCAAGGTACACACCGCAGGTACCCGTCTCACTCTCTACTCTTGTAAGGTAGACGAGATCCTTCCCAGACATTCATACCGGGACTAGATCTGTGTCCAGCATAATTAGGTTGCTACATGTAGCTCACTGTCGCTACTTGTAGCAACAGTGAGCACTTCGAAGTAGCACCAACACATCTTTACACCCAGGGTGCTGAAAGCGTGAGATATCCAGAGATAGTTAGGGGAGGTTCCACAGTGGCCACAGGCATTACCCACGACACCAGGTGGGCTCCTCAAAACACAACAGTTGTTGCTGGGCCAGGCATTTCCTCCGACCTCACTTGTCTCTCTCTATGGTCTTCACCACTCACCCACTCACACACAGGCACATACACCTGTCCCTGTTCATATGAGTTTCCGGGGTTACTGAGAGTAATTAGATGTGTTTACTATACCAATTAGCCTTTGTACTAGCACACACTGACAAAATTTATTAACTAACTTACAATATAAAACTCTAGATACACCTTTTTAAGTAGTCTGAAGCAAGACCAACTGGTACTGAACTGTCCATATAAGATTCCCGGAGTTACCGAGAGAGAACGATAAGTGCCTTCACGTGGACCTAAACCTGTAGGCGTAAAGGTGCCAATGCTTACAAAACACCTTGTCTTTATTCTGGCTCCCATGAAAACACTTTCTTAGATATTGTTGTAAGGGGCCCTTTTTCTTTTTATAGTGTCCTTCAGATTTATTCTATTTCATATATTTCTTCTCTTTTATTTTATTCTTTCTTAAATACTTATTTTCTTGCTTATATCTCTCTTTTATATTAATCTTTTCTGGTGTACATAGTTTAATAATTTCATATTCTATGTCTTTCTCACTAGAATATCTTGTTCTAGCTATATTCTAAACCATGGATTAGTCTGGAACCATGTTATTCTTATTATAGCACTTACTATACTTACAACGGTAGCCTGCCACCACCCAGACTCTTATTAGGATATAACATATCTTAGTGAACTGTTAGGTAGCGTGCTAGCGAGTTTCTAGACACGTGAGTTACTAGTTATTTTCTGAGAACCAATGTGTAGAAGGAATGGAGCGGTGATACTCGTAGTTTACTAATTTAATATTTATTAACATAAGGAGTGAATAAGAGGTTAATTAAGTTCACTCAGACCAGACTGGACCACTTAAGACTTACTTTACAAGTAACAAATTAAATCTTCAATTCTTATTACATATTTAAAAAACTGTTGTATTATTTCTTTGACAAATAAGCTGGTTATTTTACACGTTCAGATAGGACTGGACCCACAGGTCTTACTTTACAAGAAACAAATTCAATCTTCAATTCTTGGTTACAACATTAAACAAGCATTATATTATTTCATTGCCAATACAGATGGTTATATGACACTTGACAATATCCCAAATTAACTTATAACATCATGTTCTTTCAGCATGAATAACATGGCACTTTTCCGTCAGTTGATGTACTCAACTCACGTACATATTTACTGATACTATCAATTGTTATGGGATCACTATTCAACCTGGGATAACTAAAGTTCGACTAGTTATCCCCAACTATATACAACAATAATACTAGATAGAGCTCAGCTGGTAGGCCATGTGGAGGATGCACTCCCAACAGCCCTGATAACACGGTATTACTGGTAATACCAATACTGCTCGGTACATATAACGAAGATCAATGAACCAGACAATACTGAGCCCACTGGGTGCGGGTAGTTGACTACACACAGCCAAGCCGAGGCTCGCTCACTAGTAACGCCCGTGGTAGACTCGCTGTAGTATTATAACACGGTCTTTCCTGGCTGTTCTTGTACTCCGATTCTAGTTTTGCCTTATTAAAGGAATCCTTCCATGACCATCTTGCCATAGGCGGCTACCGAACCTCAGTAGTGGCGCCAACACAGACAGTGCCGGAGATGCGTTGAGGAAGAGTCACGAAAGTGTTAAAATGGTCTAACTTCAATTATACATAACATACGTCTGGCAACGATACAGACGACACTTACTTTACTCGAATTACTTGGCATATGATTATTTCACTATGTTAAAACATGAACACTGATATTCACAAAATCGACGAAGTTAAACTGACTTAAAATGGCGGCGGGAAACAATCGTTCACATACCTGGAGATGCATTGAGGCAGAGTCACTAACGTGTGATTCTTCCTTTTGCATTCGTATATATGTGAACCAGGGGCAGTTCCGGCCTACACATACATACCAGAAAGGACAATCTCACCAACAACAGACCTTCTATTCAACTTGGTCGCTGTACACTCAGCTATGAACTTCAGTGTCACGGGTCAAGCTATTTTTTTATGTCTATTTTTATAATCTAATCATAGAATGAGTCTGTCAGGAAAAAGTGAAATTGACGTTAAACACGCACTAACAACTCTTCTTACAGGAAACAGCAAACCACAGCCAAGGAATTCTTCCTGGGGAGCCGTTAGGTTTTGGAGATTTTGAGTTTGACAGAATCTTTTCAGGAGATTAATGACTTTCTGAAATAGACAACAGACACTAACTAAACTACAAGCATAAGATTCTCTGATGTTTGGGCATCAAAATAATCTAACTTCAGTAGCACTTTGGAAACTCATGGCTATCCCCAAGGACGATATAAGGATATGCCACTCATACTGACAGACTCGATGCTCACTTACTTGACAAGTTTTACTAACAATAAGGACAGTTGAAGCTTTCAACATCACTCACAATGGATCTTGAATGTTCCAACTGTAATCAGACATATATAAGTTGCCTCAACATATACCACCACAGTTGCAATTTCAAATTCTGTGTCATTACTAAGGAACAACGAAGTCTCGGGTGCACTCTAAGATTGAAAGAAAACGGAGGACTCAGACGTCCTGAAGCGATGAGAAAACGAACTCCTCAGACGGGGGACTCAAATAGAAAGAGCATAGCTACATGTTTTGTGGGCTATTGAGCGCAATTTGAATCGTCTGATTTTATGTTAACTGACGTGTACGACCGTGGTCATTACGTTGTGACTTTATGAATTGTAATTAATTACCATAATTCTAAATTACACGCTACAATAAGCGTCAGTTGTCAAGTTCTGGTAAATTTCTTTACCCTGAAACTGTGGCTCTCAGGGGATTTAGGCGCCAGCACAACAAAGGCCTTGATTCTTGGCTTGGCATATCCACTTCACTGTATTCCCAATGTATGGGTCATCCCCACACTTTGCAATTGGTTACCACTTTCATAAAATTCTCGAATCACTGCGCTGTTTGTGGTTATTCGTCACATGAGAACAGTGTGTTTTAACCTCACACAGACGTATATAAGACAGACGTATATATGAGATTTTCCTTTTACCATAGTTTATGGGTCAACCCCACCACGTCACATATGTCTGATACACTTATCATTTGCAGAGATCATTGTTCTCATATATTTTCATCTGACACCCAAGGTGGCTATGTTAATTTATCGTACACAGACGTAAATTCGGTCACACTTTTTCACAATATTTCACTAGTACGTACCAATTTGGACTTCCCAACCATCATACAGGTACTATGAGCTCTCCCTTAACACTATATGTATACAGATTTAACATTATATGCACAAATACTGTTATAACTCGCATAAAACAAGATGCAGTATGCGAGTTACCCCTTAAAAGAGCTTACTGTTTTCTGTGAAACTACTCAATAGAAGAGTTAGACACTCCCATAATGGGGTGAGTTTAAAAGTTGTGCAGTTGTAATACGAGTCATAAAAAGATTGTAGGGACCTATTACTAACGTGCCCATAATAAACGACGCATTCATTTTTGTCGAATTTTCCCCAACATGTTGCATCGAATAACAGCAGGTGAATCGTGGAAGTATTACATAGTTACCCCCTAAAATTTCTTTATCATTGAAAATAAAACAGTTTTCTGTGGTGGTGTAATGGGCTAACTTTATTATAGAGAGCATCTTCTTTTTTTTTCAGGTTAGAATATTATTTTTACGAGTCAATAACAGAGTTGTAAAGTAACGAAATAAATTCACTTGAGTAATGTACTGTATTCAATTAAAAATTTCGGGTATTTACTTTTTAGAAAGTAATCAAATTTATCAGTACTTTTACTATTACTTAATTATAGTTCTCTAATACCTTTACTCCAGAACACTTGAATAAACAACAAGAGTTACTCGTTAAATTCCCCAAACAATAGAGTTTTAAATCTCCAGTCATAGTGTAGGGGCGCGTGTTATATATATATATATATATATATATATATATATATATATATATATATATATATATATATATATATATATATATATATATATATATATATATATATATATATATATATATGTAACCGGTCGGAATTACTGGACATTAATTTCTCACTTGACTCGGGGTTTATTAATTATGGCCGGTTGGCCTGTGCATGGCAACTCCTGTCGAGAGTTACTACCACTCTCTATCATCCATGAATCTATCTAGCCTCCGTTTAAAACTTTCCAGCGTTCCAACACTTACTACAAAGTTGCTAAGCTTGTTCCACTCGTCCACCACCCTATTTGTGAACTAGTTCCTTCCTATCTCCCTCCTAAACCTAAACTTATCCAACTTAAATCCGTTGCTACGAGTCCTATCCTGCTCGAATATTATAAGAACTTTATCCATATCACCATTATTGATTCCTTTCACCCACTTAAATATTTCTATCATATCTCCCCGCACTCTTCGTCTTTCTAGGGAATGCAAGTTTAGTTACTTTAACCTATCTTGATATGGAAGGTTTCTAAGCCCCGGAATCATTTTCGTCATTCTTCGCTGCACCGACTCCAGTGAATTGATATTCATTCTATAATAAGGGCACCAGAGCTGAAGCGCATAATCGAGGTTCGGCCTGAGTAGCGCAAGATATAGTTGCAACAAGACCTCTGCACTCTTATTACTTACACTTCTAGATATAAAACCTAATACTCTGTTTGCCTTATTTCGAACAATAACGCACTGTTTTCTTGGCCGTAGGTCCGGGCTTACAAGTACCTCTAAGTCGCTTTCACAAGTCGATTTCTCTAGGTTGACGTTGTTAAGTCTGTACACATTGACAGTATTTGTTCTTACGATGTTAAGTACGCTGCACCTGCTGGTGTTGAATTTCATTTGCCATTTTTCTGATCACTCCTGCAGTTTATTTAAATCCTCCTGTAGTACATTTGTATCCTGCCCTAAATTAATTTGCCGCCCTATTTTGGTGTCATCCTCAAACTTGCTTTTGTCACTGCTGATCCTAGTATCTAGATCGTTTATGTAGATTATGAACAAGAGTGGGCTCAGTACTGACCCCTAGGGAACCCCACTGGTTACATAGTCCCACTCAGATTTAACACCATTTACGCTGACCCTCTGTGTTCTATCGGTGAGCCATGATTATATCCAATTTAAAACTTTCCCCTCGATACCATGAGGCAGGACGGTGTGGTGCAGATGTTCAAACCCTGCCCAGTGGTAAGGTCGTGGTAGTTGGGGACAGCCAGGTGAGGTTCTTAGATAGGACTTTTTGTGCAAGAGATAGGAAACGTAGGACTAGGGTCTGTTATCCTGAGACTGGGATAGGGCATGTAGCTGAGAGGATAGATAGAGTTTTATTAGGGGAGGGTACCAAGCCAGTAGTGTGTCTTATTATAGGATGTAACAACCTAGGAAAAGTTAGTAGTGAGGAATTTTTCCAGAGGTATAGGGAGGCGCTAGGGAAGGTTAGAGATAGGGGAGGGATCTCGAGAGTATGTGGTGTCTTGCCTAGAAGAGGAGTTGGTGGTGAATAGCTGTCCAAGGCAATTGCTATAAATTGTCGACTGGAAAAACATTGTGCAAGCAATGGTTGGGCGTTGAACTTCAGAAATATTGACTGGGACAACATTGTAGGAGACTATGAATCCAAAGACTTCCTCGACGCAGGGGAGGGGAGGGGAGAGAGTGTGGTGCACGGGGAGGGGAGAGAGTGTGGTGCACAGGGAGGAGAGAGTATGTGGTGCACGGGAGAGACACAGGGAGGGGAGGGAGGAGAGTGTGTGGTGCACAGGGGAGAGAGTGTGTGGTGCACGGGGAGGGAGTGTGTGGTGCAGGGAGGAGAGTGTGTGTGCACGGGGAGGGAGAGTGTGTTGTGTGTGTGGTGCACACGGGGAGGGTGTGGTGCACGGGAGGAGAGAGTGTGTGGTACACGGTTGGGAGAGTGTGGTGCACAGACATGGGGAGGAGAGAGTGTGTGGTGCACGGGGAGGAGAGGGGAGGAGAGAGTGTGTGGTGCACGGGGAGGAGAGAGTGTGGTGCACGGGGGAGGAGTGTGGTGCACGGGGAGGAGAGAGTGTGTGGTGCACGGGGAGGAGAGATTGTGTGGTGCACGGGAGGAGAGATTGTGTGGGGCACGGAGAGGAGAAAGTGTGGTGCACTGGGGGGGGGGAGGGGGGGCGATTATCAAGTCTCGTTACATTTGCTGTCCGGGATGTCGGGGGTGTCAGGGGTGTCGGGGGTGTTGGGGGGTTTGAGAGCGAGTGTATATAAGACTCCCTGAACGGCATCCATCCTCGCAGTGTAAGTGAAGACCCGGCGTCTTAACACACCAATCTACACAGACACGGAGTTATTTCCCACAAACTGTACAACACTGAAGGTAAGAATGCAAGCACTGTACAGTCTTTAGATTTAAAAACTGCGGCAGGATATTACATACAATGAATGTATAGTAGGTGCAGGTGATCCATGTAAATGCCGATAACCACACAGGGAAAGAGAAAACAAGTTCCCAAGCGCTTCGGTGTAATTCACATCTTCAGGGGTGAGTACAGACTAAGGAGTAATACCTGACAAGGCTGATATATACAGTAGAGGAGAGTGAGATCAAGTCCCTAGAGACAGTATGTGTCCACCATATTCAGGTCATAAAGTAATGATCCAACCCTTTTACCTGGTTACAAATCTTAATGACAAAACTATCCAATTTGTACATACCATAACTGAAATACATGTTGACAAATTCGGTATGCTTAATGAGAATAGATTCTCCAATGTTCCTACTGATAATTGAATTACAAGGTAAGACTGAGGAGGTATTAGTCCAGTCAATGCAATGATTACATTCTTTGTAAGGATCCTTGTAAATTCATCCACCTGCATTGCTGAGAGAGTTCTTAATTAACATTTGTTTTACAGTGCATGAGTTACTGTTGTATATCATGGGTAGGTTGAAGACCAGTTCTATAAAAAGATTTTTTAGTGATGTTAAGGCATTTGTCTATAAAATATCTAGGGTATTTTAAGTTCAAACCAATATTATCTAATATACTATAGCGCTATCCGAATGTATGTCTCTCTCTCTGTTTGTCTGTTCTGTGCAGCCGAAACAGCACAATCGTTTTTCATCAAACTTGGTGGAAAAATTGCAAAAAAATCGTAGAGTGGAACAAACCTGGACCCATGTCGATGGTTTATTTAGGAAGGCATTAATTAACAATTTTATTTACGATGGAAAAAAAATGCAAGTCTACGGACTTGGCGCACTCTCATTCGCTTTACGCTGTCAGCCGGATACAATACAGGAACAATACCATACAATACCATGCAATACCATACCACACAATACAATACACAACGAACTATAAATATTTGTAAGATTAAAACATAATTATATAGACATGTAAGACTCACAATTTGATAAGATATCCGTAAGACATTAGCTATTGGAAATGTGATTAAATGTTTTGTTATTAATCCAGTGTGAAATGTGTCGGTATTGGTGGTACAATCCTAATGGTCTCTAATCCTGTTGATTAGGTGAGGTTAATCTGGGTTTATAGAGATTAAAGATAAGGTGTGGGGTTTATTCTACCTGTGTTAGTCTCAAGTACGACCCTTATTGTAACAACCACGACCATGATTATAACAACCACGACCATGATTATAACACCCACGACCATGATTATAACAACCACGACCATGATTATAACACCCAAGACCATGATTATAAGAACCACCATGACCATGATTATAACAACCACGACCATGATTATAACAACCACGACCATGATTATAACAACCACGCCGATGATTATAACAACCACGACCATGATTATAACAACCACGCCCATGATTATAACAACCACGACCATGATTATAACAACCATGACCATGATTATAACAACCACGACCATGATTATAACAACCACGACCATGATTATAACAACCACGACTGACAACCACGACCATGATTATAACAACACGACCATGATCATATATTATAACAACCACGACCATGATTATAACAACCAGGACCATGATTATAGCAACCAGGCCCATGATTATAACACCCACGACCATGATTATAACAACCACGACCATGATTATAACCACGACCATGATTATAACAACCACGACCATGATTATAACAACCAGGACCATGACTATAACAACAAGCACCATGATTATAACAACCACGACCATGATTATAACAATCACAACCATGATTATAACAACCACGACCATAATTATAACAACCACGACCATGATTATAACAACCACGACCATGATTATAACAACCACGCCCATGATTATAACAACCACGACCGTGATTATAATAACCAGGACCATGATTATAAAATCTACGACTATGATTATAACAACCACGACCATGATTATAACAACCACGATCATAATTATAACAACCACGCCCATGATTATAACAACTACGACCATGATTATAACAAGCACGACCATGATTATAACAAGCACGACCATGATTATAACAAGCACGATTATGATTATATCACCCACGACCATGATTATACCAACCACGACCATGATCATAATCACGATCATGATTATAACAACCACGACCATGATCATAGCAACCACGACCATGATTATAATAACCAGGACCATAATTATAACAACCACGACCATGATTATAACAACCACGACCATGATTATACCAAATCCACGACCATGATTATAAATAACCACGACTATGATTATAAATAAATCTGGTGACCATGATTATACAACCAGGCCTATGATTATAACAACCATGACCATGATTATAACAACGACGACTATGATTATAACAACGACGACCATGATTAAAACATCCACGACTATGATTATATTATCCACGACCATGATTATAACAACCACTACCATGATTATAACAACCACGCCCATGATTATAACATCCAGGACCATGATTATAACAACTCCGACCATGATAATAACAACCATGACCATGAATATAATAACCACGACCATGATTATAACAACCACGACCATGATTATAACAACCACGCCCATGATTATAACAACCACGACAATGATTATAACAACTGGTGGACAATGATTATAGCAACAGCACCACAGATTATAACAACCACGACCATAATTATAACAACCACGACCATGATTATAACAACCACGCCCATGATTATAACAACCAGGACCATGATTATAACAACCAGCACCATGATTATAAATAACCAGCACCATGATTATAACACCCACGACCATGATTATAACAACCAGCACCATGATTCTAACAACCAGGACCATGATTATAACAACCAGGACCATGATTATAACAACCACGACCATGATTATAACAACCAGCACCATGATTCTAACAACCAGGACCATGATTATAACAACCAGGACCATGATTATAACAACCACGACCATGATTATAACAACCAGCACCATGATTCTAACAACCAGGACCATGATTATAACAACCAGGACCATGATTATAACAACCACGACCATGATTATAAATAACCACGACCATGATTATAACAACCACGACCATGATTATAACAACCACGACTATGATTATAACAACCAACCACGACTATGATTATTACAACCATTAATGACCATGATTATAACAAACACGACTATGATTATAACATGACATTATTACACCACGACCATGATTATAACAACCACAGCGATTATAACACCTACCATGATTATAACAACCACGACCATTTTATAAAAACCACGCTATGATTATAACAACCACGACCATGATTATAACAACCACGACCATGATTATAACAACCACGACTATGATTATAACAACCACGACCATGATTATAACATACACACAACCACGACCATGATATAACCACGACCATGATTATAACAACCGATTATAACAACCACGACTATATTATATCAACCACGGCCATGATTATAACAACCACGACCATGATTATAACAACCACGACCATGATTATAACAACCACAACCATGATTATAACAACCACGACTATGATTATATCAACCACTACCATGATTATAGCAACCACGATCATGATTATAACAACAACGACCATGATTATATCACCCACGACCATGATTATAACAACCACGACTATGATTATATCACCCACGACCATGATTATATCAACCACGACCATGATTATAACAACCACGACTATGATTATAGCAACCACGCCCATGATTATAACAGCCACGACTATGATTACAACAACCACGATCATGATTATAGCAACCACGACCATGATTATAACAACCACGACCATGATTACAACAACCACGACCATGATTATAACAACAACGACTATGATTATAGCAACCACGACCATGATTGTAACAACCACGACTATGATTACAACAACCACGACCATGATTATAACAACCACGACCATGCTTATAACAACCACGACCATCTGGAAAACGATGTCACTGTAAGCTGTCAGCCGGACCTGTGGTTGCGCGCTGGCCAAGCAGGAGCGTTCGAACTTTTAAGCCTCTGTAAACTGTACCACCGGACTCGCCACCGGGCACGAAGGGCCCACGATCACTTGTAGATATTTTAGTGGGTTTTCTCCTAAATACTGAACTTAAAGGTGTTACCTACTCTGTGGATCACACAGTCTAGCAATGGTAATTTGCAGTCACTTTCTAATTCCAGGGTGAATGTGATCGAGGGGACTAAGTTGTTAATCTCCCTTGAAACAGTAAGTGAAATTTACCTCCTTAGAATAGTGAGTTAGGTTTATATCTCCCTGAACTCAATGAGCTAAATTTATCTCCCCATATAGAGTGAGCTGAGTCTTCTTTGCCTTCGTGATGACCGACCCCTTGACTCGACTGTTACTGGTGTTGATGCTGACCGTCTCCTGTACACCCACACCTCAGAATTCAGCTGACCACAGTGACTATGTTGACTATAGTCAGTATGGTGACGGTGATACGTCATATTACTACGATACCGTTCATGATATTCGTAAGTATATGAAATAATTTCTGTCTCAGGTGGATAATGTTCACGGCACACCTGCTGAGTGCTGAGTCGTCAGTAATGTCAGGGTGAGCTTTTGTTAAGTTGTGAAACATATTTCAACCCTTCTCAATTTATGCAGTTATGGAAAATGCGTAAATCGAGCCAATTCTGAGCGAACTATTAGGAACAATAAGAGAGTAATAGATGAATGTAAGTAAAGCTCAACTACAAGTCTTCCATTATAAATCTTTTAATGAATATAATAAAAATAAACATCAGAAGATTAGTCTTCCACTTCTACAAATACTACTATTTTGTGGTGTTTAAAGTGAGATCTGAAATGACCCAGCGTTGACCCACTTTAGAGCCTTAACGTACGGTAACCTGTCTTCCATTACAGCACAAGCTAATATTGGTGGAATTGACGCAGTAGCACCAAACTCGGTAATGTATAGAAAAGCCACTTTCGTCAGTATTACTTATCATAACCTCATTATGGATAATTACATCATTATACTTTACACATTAAAAATTATGATACCAATACATACGAGTACTGTGCTCTTGGATACCATAACAGTGTCTTAACAACAGTGTTTATTAGTATTGTTAACAGTGCTTTCTTCCGTGGATAGGGAGCGTTGATTAGTGCTCCTCCAGGCAACACAAACCGCCCTACAATTGTGTTCGGTCCCAGACCCATACAAAGGCGGCCTTTCTGGTTCACTCGAAACCCGACCAACCCGTTCAACACACAGAGGATCAACCCGTTCAACACACACAGGACCAACCCGTTCAACACACACAGGACCAACCCGTTCAACACACACAGGACCAACCCGTTCAACACACACAGGACCAACCTCAGCAACTAGTGAGGCCCTACAGTAAAAATACAACGCAAAAAGCACATCCCAACCACTCACCAGTCCCATTAAACACCCAATAGCAGTCAACCTTTACTTAACTAACCTAACCTAATCAACTAATACTTTCAATATACTGTACACCGCCCCCATGTCATATGAACAATGTATACCACCCAATATCATGTAGTGAACAATGTACAGTCCTCCATATTAGTGGCTCGTCAGGTTTTGTGTTGTGTGGCAGGGCTGAGTTTGGTTATAGGAAACTCGCAATAAAAATGAAAATACAAATATTAAAAAATATATATAAATGTAAATATTTGTGAAATGTTTGTATGTTAAATAAAAAATGCATTAGATACACTGTTTTTAGATCGTATCTTTTGCCCAGTGGACGATGTATAGCCAGGTGAAGTGACGTGGGGTGGGAGGGTGGTCAGCAGGGAGGTAAGTGGAAATAGGTGCCCCTCTACCTACAGTAATTGAGGCTTAAATTTACATCTATCATATTTATTACTTCCCTGTCTCCTATATTATGCAGATAGCATTTATACTGCTCATGTTAAACTTTGGCCACAGTGTGAAGAAGAGGAAGTTTGAAGTTAATTGCAGTGATTCAGTACTGTATTCACATGTGTTTGTTGCTTGCTATACTAATACTATACTAACAGAGTAAATAAAGCATTTAATAATAATAAGAGTTTTGCAATCTGTCTCAGTATCCGAGGTGCATGTCACGTCTGGTTGTGTAAGGATGGTGAACTGTAGATGAAAATATATTTTTTTTCGAAGCACAACTACAGTAATTCCCTTTCTATAAGCTATATCTATTTCTTTAACTGTTAAGGAATCAGGGCCAAGCGAGGGGTGTGAGTTGACTGATCATTGATAACATACCGTAATAAGTGTTTGACACTTGTGTCATTTAAGAAATTTTCAATCAGTTGTAATTTCAGACATTTTGTTTTTTGTAACCATTATGAAGGTAACAATAGGTGTAGAATATGTTTCTAAATAAATTATATGCGGTGGAGGAGACTTCAGACTTCTGTCCACCACTTTTATTAAAATGGAAACATGTTGGTAACACTTGAGGTGCCAATGCAACATTTCATACTCATTCGTCACAGGGAACAACGGGAGGTTTTCTTATTGCTCTAGCATTTTGATGTAATCATTATATCGTGATGATGAATCGTGTATATAACCGATTTTCAATGTAATACACAATGAACTATATAAGATAATAAATTATCAATGACTACTGTACGGCAGTTTATGTTCCATATTGACCTCGCACATCACACACACACACACACACACACACACACTACTACTACTATTTTGCTGTCATTCAGAATCGAGTAAGCGATCATCCAGCTACGATAGAATGATATGAGTTACTAAGGATGTCACCTTCGTGGGTGAGTTTTAAGGTGACTAAAGAGGCCGATACGGGACCGGCAGAGTCAGTCACAGATGTTGCACATGTGGATGGCTCCACCTAGTGCGGGAGGGGCGGTGGCAGCGTCTTTCCGGTGCTGGCGCTTGTCTGCCTCGGTTTGCAGTCGGGCTATTCCGAAAGTATTGACACCTTCTCGTGTGGAGTCTTAAGACCATCCTTATACCTTTTCACATGCCCGTCAGCGTTACCATTTACTATACGTTGGATGACCGTAAAGTAGCTGCTTTGGCAGTCTACTGTCGTCCATGCGGGTAACATGACAAGTCCAACGTAGTTGTTCTTGGATAAAGGTAGCCTCGATGCTCCTACGGGTGTAAGCGAGAATACTGGCATTTGTTATCTTGTCTTCCCAATAAACTATGAAACAACTAAGGAGCAGGAAAAGTGGAGGACATCAAAAAGTGGTGGGACCTGGTGACATCATATGGTCCACAAATAGGGTATCAGCCAAATGGCAGCAAGTCCTTCCTCATCGTGAAGCCAGAATAGTATGACCGGGCTATAGAGGTGTTCAACGGAAGTGAGGTCAAAATAACAAATGACGGCCAAAGACATCTAGATGCTGTAATTGGCTCGAATGATTTTAAGACCAAATACATACGGGAAAGATAAATGAGTGGGTGAAGGAAATCCAACCACCGTTGGATATTACTAAAATAGAACCACATGTGGCGTTTGCGGCATTCACCTACGGAATGAAGCATCGTTGGAATTACCTGATGTGCACTATCCTTGATATCGGACCCTTCCTCTATCCTCTGGAAGAAGCCATTAGGATAGCTTATATTTTAATACCAGTGAAACGCTTTTAATTAACCCAAACAGAAAGGTCACTCCTTTCACTACCACAGAGACTGGGAGGAATAGGAATGACTAATCCAGAGGAGCTTGCTGCCACCGAACATCGAAACTGTTATGCTCATAGTAGCCTTCACTAAGCACATAATAGCTCAGAATGCAGCAAGTGAGGTGGATACCAACGAATTAAACAACATTGGACGATCCATTATAACAACGACAGCACACCCGAAGTGATAAACTGCAATAACTGATGCAGCAATTTTCAGAGAACTTGAAAAAAAAAGTAACTATAGTGCCTTGAACAGGCTAACAGTGTTACCGATAAGTATTTACAAATAGCATTGTTCTAAGCCAGTGAAAGGTTTGCCCACCCAATGCGTGTGTGACTCATCCTATGACATCAACTACACCTTGATGTTCAAGAATGGGGACTTCGTATGCATGATGCATGGCGAAGTAAGGGATCTCACAGCAAATATGCTGAAAGAAAGCTGCCATGACGTCACAGTGCAACCGTGAGAATCTTCACCACAGGACTTTCAACACATCCAATGAAGCCAGTGTGGACGTCAGCTCTCGAGGATTTTGGACGCTGGAACAGCGAGCCTTTTTTTGACGTCAGGATATTTGACCCCATGGCTGCATGTCACTGTAACCTGTCTCTCGAGGCTGCACACAAGAGGAACGGGAACGACAATAAAAGGGCGTGTTTGGAGAGAATTCAGAAAGTGGATCAAGGCAGCTTCACTCCTCTGATGTCCACAACCTCTGGTGAGATGGGATCAAGTGCAAGATGCTTCTATGCAAGACTGGCCGAGGTGTTATCTGAACAGAAGCAGCAGCCCAGAAGCTATGCTGCAGCCTGATTGAGATGTGGACTGCCCTTCTCTCTCTTTAGGTTTGCAGTGCTTTGCAGATATTGACGATGAGGCAACAGTCACTGAATGCCTCTCAGATCTGTGACTAAACTAATTGAACTCAGCTAGGGTAGCTACTTTTGTATTAAGATATTAAAATATCATGGTAATAAAATGGTGGTTAAGGTGTGACCATTAGGGGAGACTTGAGGCCACTTTGATTAAAAAAAACGATATTTTTATTATTATTATTATTATTATTATTATTGTGAGGTTTGAAAGCTTTCAGAAATGAGCTAATCAACTAAAAAGAATATTTAATAATTCTACAATAAAAGTAATATATATCGTGTTGCTTTCTACCATTTCATTACTTGGTCCTGTTTAAATGAGACCATACCCATACACCATGGTACCATACCCACACACCATGGTACCATACCCACACACCATGGTACCATACCCACACACCATGGTACCATACCCACACACCATGGTACCATACCCATACTGTCGTCACATCAACAGTAGAAGCGACCAGCCTAATTCCCGAAGCTGATGATGAGTCGCATGCCATAGCAGGAATAACCTCTTGGTACTTGTTTAAATATATTATGCATTTGATTTTCATTGCTGCCAGGGTAAGTGAAGCTATAGGTCAACACGCTCAAATGGAAAAACAAAATATTTCCCCAATGAACATTATGCAAAGTGAAGAATAATTTATCATAATTATTATTAAACATTCATAAAATACAGATTTACTACACAGGATAATTTACACTACACTGCAAAATCGAGCTTAACATAACTTTCGACAACATGTAAGTGACCATGTCTTTTCAAGGCTCGCCTTGAATATATACTGTATGTCGACTTTCACTGGAGTCATACAGGTCACCACTCAGCAAGAAGTTCGCCTTGGCTGACATAAAGTTAATCACACACACACACACACACACACACACACACACACACACACACACTGGAGACGAGTGTCTTGTTTCATCACCTGGGGTTCTCTCAATGTACCAGGGTTTCACCTGAATCTCACAGGATATCAGGGTACAGGATATCACCAGGATCCTTTCAGTATATCAGGGAGGTGCCGACTGTTCCTCATAGGGAACTGACTACCATCTCACAAGGAGAAGTATATCTGTTATCGGGTATTTGGTTCACACAAGTATTGTGATCAAAGAGCGGCCTTGTGGTTTGCTCTACGTTGGGCATTTGTAAAGTCTGTGGCTGGCACTGCACCCGGCACTTAACATTTGAAAAGTCTAGTGCCTATCCAAGTAATTCATCTGTCTCATATCCTGTCGAGTGATCCCTGCATGTATCCCCACAATATATCATGGTTACCATACACCATAGTAAGAGCATTTAATACCAATTAAAATAAACTAAACTACACCTAGGAACGATAAGCATGCATCAAGGAAACACTATATCTATCTATATATATAACAGTTAATATTTCATCGCGACAGGTTCATCTCAATCAGCGTCCGTGGTAATTAGTTCCTGTTGTAAGTATTGTAGATTCAGTGGTAAGTTTTTCCATGGTAAGAAATTTTTGTGTTAAGTATTCCTTGGTAAGTAGTTTCCTTGGTAAGTAATTCCCCTGGTGGGTGCATTCTGTAGTAAGCAATTTCTCTGGTAAGTAGTTTCCGTGGTAGGTAGTTTCAGGGATAAGTTGTTGCTGTAGTGAATAATTACCTAACATGGTAACTCCCTGGAATAAGAGCTGCATACCTCCACCAGTATCTTCCTGTTACCTGATCGGCCTACCTAGGTTATTGCTAGTATTAACCTGGATGTGTTCAAGGTCGGTCGCTTACCCTGTAAATATAAGTGCCAATAATAATGATAAATAGACTGTAGGTATCATCCTGCCCATTTATACTCAAGGTTATATGTAGGAAAAGAACCTAGAACATACGTCTTAGTAACTGAGCCCATCGTCCTTCTCGTCTCACCTTGGTCGCACCTGGTAAACAAGTCCCCAGTGCATAATAAGCGGTCATTACCTGATTCCGACAACTGTTCATATAATTCTGATAGCAGGTTGGAACAGATATACCGTGTAGGAGTACAAGGGACTACGATAATAAAAGACCTAAGAGTATCCATAACGCCTTCACAGTTTCTTCTCATTCAAAACGAACATGTAGAATATTTAAACAAGCGTAGAGGAGATTCAGGGAATATTCTAGGCCACAGAAAGGGCTTGGTAGGCACGGTTCAAGGTGGTTTAGCCTGGCTCAGGTTGTTCTTGCCTGTTTAGAGTACGGAATCCTGAAGGTGACTTTGGAACATAGGAACTGCGTCAGATGTATGTATAGTGTTACAATGATACATGTATAGTGCTACCATGATGTGTGTACAGAGTAGCATTACCATGATATATGTATAGTATCGTGTTACCATGATGCGTGTATAGTGTTACCATATTGTATGTACAGTATAGTGTTACGATGATGCATGTATAGTGTTACTATAATGTATGTACAGCGTAATGTTACCATGAAGTATGTACAGTATAGTGTTATCATGATGTATGTATAGT